GAACCTTCCGCTGTGCCGGAGGAGGGAAGTGTAAGCTTGGAAACGCCCGAGCACCAGAGCCCGGACACCGAGTGGCAAGACCTTGCGTCCTGCTTGAAGAAGCTGCAGTCGCACGTGGAGGCCGGTATCCTCCCAAGGGAGTTGACCCAAACCCTGAACTCTTTCGGGTTTCGGGGCGAGAGTTCGATTGCAAAGACACCTTTAGAGCTTACTCGTAGGGCTTTTTCGAAAGCAGTGTAGGCCGTGAGGCCATCTTGCTTGTTGTTACAGTCATCTGGGGCTGCCGAGTGGGCTCTTGCAATGAGGTTCCGGGTCCTCAAGTTGTTCTCTGGAGCTGGATGTGGGATTGTGTCAATGGCAAACTTCTACTTGGAATGAGTCTCGAACTCTTCAAGCCCACTTTCGACCTGCCCTTTTGCCTCAATTTCGACGAGTCCGACTACATAACCCAATGCTCCAACCACAACCCTAGTGACCCTAGTGATCTAGTGTCAGGACATGGTTGGTCAGTCACGTCGCTTGCAGGCACTTGCAGACGAGCCTGCCCCACCAAGCAAGACTGCTGAGGCCGCTGAGTGTGTAGGCTGTAGGCTGCATACTGTGTTGCCTTGAGCTCTGCAGTCCGCTGTTGTGGCAGGAATTCCTGCCGTCAGTGCACGCCCTTTGTCGCAACATCATCGGAACTTCTTCATGTCATTTCTGATGCGTGTGAGCAAGTTGGAGGTGTAGCTTCCACGCTTTTCTGGGATCATTCCTATTGAACCTGTCGCCCAGCCCACGGGTACACGCACCGAAACATCTCCTGGCCCAGTCGGGGCGTCGTCTGCAGGTCTTCGGAGGCTTCTTCCATGATCGACGGAAGCCAGAGCAGCCAGAGAAGAGGCACCCGAGTGCCCGAATTCAAGGTTTGAGGTGCAGGGGGCTTTGGCACATCAAGAAGACGTCAGTTCAGGGGAGTGCGCTCAGACGTGCAGGAGCAACGCGAAGTTTGAAGTTCAAAGCTCAACCGGCAGTTTGTTTGAAGATGTGACACTTGGGTCAAAGCCACGCTGCCCGACAGCGACCCAGGGGCACTGTGCAGCTGGGTGGTGTCAGCATCACGTATCCTTTGTTGGGCTGCCTTCTTGCCAAGGACCCGGTTTTTGGGAGGTTCGGGGCTTTGTGCTTCTCCAGGGTTATGGGGTTGAGTGGTTGTAGGGACTGCAACTCGCTACCTGACTAGGAAGAGAGTGTCCAGAGCTTGTCATGCTGATGCCTGATATAGCTATACAAGAACCCATAATGGATGGTACAAAACAACATGCTTAGACTCAATGCCCCCTCTAAACTGTTCGAGCGAGTATAGAGCCTAAACTCCAACCAAATCCCTCAAGCTTTTTGACTCAGCTGTGCTAATGTCGCACAGCTTGTCTGAGACATCAACGGGATGACGATGTCTTCCTGGAATCTCCTTCCGACAGCGTTAAGAAATCCTGCAGTCTCCCGTAAAATGCCTTCTGCTAGTAGGACGCAGCAAAAGATCCCCCAAAACCCTAAAAACCCTAAACCCCTAAACCCAAACAGCCTAACCCAAAAAGCCTAACAACAAAAAGCCCTGCCTCAAGGAAGTTCCCCCGGTGGAAAGCGAGAGCGAGGCAAAGACCCTCGGAGTTTCCCCTGGCCCCGAGGCGCTACGATCTCAGGCAGAGGCGCCATGTTTTTTTAATAGAGAAACCCATGGGTTATGTAGGGTTTATAGGGTTTTATGGGGTTCCTTTGTTGGGGTTTAGGGAAAAAGGGGGATTGTAGGGGTTGAGAGGGCTTATAGCTGAAGGCTTAGGCCAACTTTAGGGCATCTAGGCATTCAGGCTTTGGGGGGGTTGAAGCGGGTTCTTTTCGGGCTTGGGTGTTCCGCAGGCGGGGCGAGTTAAGATGCAGCTTACCCGGCCCCACCCTAAGCCCCACACCCAGGCAGCTTCCTTTCGTTCTCGAGCCCCGAAGCCGCTTCGCAACCATCCGGACACGGAAGGCTTTGCATCAACCCTTCTGAATCCAACCAAGTTCCAAAGGACTGCAGACATCGGATGGATCTCCAGCGCACCTGCCACAGATTCTTCAGACGACACCAACAAATCTGAGATGTCGTCAAAAAAACGGCCCTACCTGGGCGGGGGACTTGAACAAAGACTCCCTCTCTGAGCAGGTGCTCCTAGCTGAGGCAGATGGGGCCCGGCAGGAAGCTCGCGTTTGCGAGGCAGAGGGTTTGGGGCTCAAGGTTTAGGGTAGCTGAAAAGTAGAAGTAGCGGTATAGCAGTTTAGTCGTCGGGCGTCTTCGTAGTCGTAGTGGCACTAGTAGTAGTAGTAGTAGTAGTAGTAGCAGCAGCAGCAGCAGCAGCAGCAGCAGTAGCAGTAGCAGTAGCAGGAGTAGCAGCAGCCAGCAGCAGCGGCAGTACAAGTCAGCAGTGCAACTAACAACTATTTGCAACAGGTGTAACACTGTTTCCAGAATTCTTTGTCTTGTCTTTAGTACTGCTATCACCTTTATTGTGCGGCTATCCGACAGTCTTCTTTCGGGTTTGTACAGGCCCAAAGGGTCCTATATACCTACAAAGTAGAACGTAGGGTTTCTATATTCGGAGTTACTATTCTGATTCTGGAAAGTATCCCCCCATGACAGTACATCGGACCCTTCGGGAGGAGCTGCCACGACTGCTTTCAGGTCCGGGGGCTGGTACAGATGTTGGATTCGATACAGAGTAGCGCAGCCTCATGGCGTGATGGTTTCATAAGGCCTTTCAGGATGTCAAGACTCGGACAGGGTTGGTGTTTTTAGGGTCATTGCCTGCGCTACATGTTACAAATACAATATAGGCTGTCCAGTTTCCGTACGGTCCAAGCCTTCCTCGCGAGGTGCGACTTCAGGATCTGGAGGCTGAGGAGGCACGGCGCTGTGCCGAAGTCTCAGACTTGGAGGCCTGGTAAAACCCTGGCAGCTTCTACCCGAAACCCCTAGCCATAGCCTATAACCATCATGCACGATGCATCATTGCTCACATCCCGGTTGCAGCTCCTATTCATTCGATACCCTAGACCGCGATGCGGGAGCCAAAAATACCCTAGACCGCAAACTGGACAATCCCTGTAAGCCTTCCCGGAGGCGATGGAGCCCAGCCTGGAGGAGGCCCGAACCACTCTTCACGCTCTTCGGGACCGGGCTGGCAAAATGCTGGAGCTGAAGCCTGTTGGGGCATGCTCCAGAGGAATGACGGTAAGAGATAGCATGTAGACGGATATCTGCATGTTCAGGTGTATGTGTGTAGGTGTTTCTGTGTTTCTGAGTGCCTGTCGGTGTAATGAACTGAATGGACCTGAACCAGGAGGCCGCAGACCAAAATGATGCCGAATGTGAGGACTTGGTGCAGCGGCAGGCGGTCGCGAAGCATTTGGAGCAGATGCGTGCTGGGTTGCGGGCGGATAAAGCACAGCAACGACTGACCAGAGCAGTTCTGTCGGAAGCGAAAGAAGAGGAAGAGGAGCTGGCACGGCATGAGGCATTGCTTCGGAGAGCTGCTATGAAGGCAAAGGCCGAGGTCAACCAGCTTAAAGAGAGGCTGCAGCAGCTACGGGATCGTGATATGTCCAGACAGCGGTACTGGGAGACAGTGCCCTCGATCGAAGTAGACAAGCTACAGCTCAAGCGCCTGGAGCTCGTCGCTTACCGCGATCAGGCGCGAGCACTGAGGAGGCTGCTGTCGGAGCAGGAGGCGAGAGATCTCGCTCGGCAGAAGGCAGCCTCCGAACTGGTCGAGAGCCTGGCGCTGAGCTTGCGCCGTGAGAGTATCGGGAGCACAGCGCCGATGGCAGTGTCGCCGGCGTCGGCTAAAGAGGCCCTCGTGGAGCAGATGGCGGAAATGCGAAGGCTCCAGGCACGAAAGTACGAACTGGAGGCACGCTTTGATCGTGAGCGCCGCTTGCGCGCCGCCCTAGAGCGCAGGCTCCAGGCACCGGTGGTGGAGGTGCCGGTGGAGGTGAAAGGTTTTTCATCGAGAGGCCTGCAGTGCCGCAGCCGCGCCTCGCCTGCACGATGTGAGAAGAGCCAGCGGCAGGCAATGACGTTAAACGCTGGCGAAGAGATAATCCAGGAGCCAGTGACTGCAGTGGCGGAGAGCTTTTGCAGACCGCAGTCCGGTGGCCCGGTCTCCCCATGGTCAGAGGACATCCGGAGGCTGGTTCGTGCCATTTCACCGTAGACGTTCCGCGAGAGGTTGGCACGTCTCATGATGCAAATTGCATGGTTATAGCCGGACGCATGTAGTTGGCCCTGTAGATACTAATTTCATGGTTCAGCAACATGCCCGAGATGTTACTCTGCCCCTCTCCAAGCTGCCGCGGCTTGCGTTGCCACATGTGCACGAGCTGCCAGTCCCAAAGCGGGGAGACAAAGGCCAACTCGACTTGGTCAGTGCACAGTATAGGAGCCATGTCAAGGTGACCATGTTGACCCTGAGGCAAGACTTCTCGTCAATTTACGGTTTTCTTCGTAGGCCTTTGCCGGATACCCCTAAATGTAGAGCTTTGCTAGCTAACCCGTGAACATAAAACTGGCAGTCATTGCATGTTTGAGGCATGTTCGGATCACTGGGAATGTCTAGATACTCTTGCCATGTCTCAATTAGATTAGAGTAGCGTTAGTGTCTGTACAGCATGCGCATGATTTACATGGTAACTCCGATGCTACATGGCTGTTCTTGTTACATATAGCAAGTTTTACTTTGATAAGGACGGTGGTGGTGGTGGTGGTGGTG